AAAATTACTGTTACATTAACAGAGAACTATCAGAAATACAAACTGGGTTTAGAAAAAGCTAAGACACTAGAGGTATTATCTATCGCCAATGTCAGATGGATCTTAGCTTAAAGCAAAAGTACCAGACGATTGTCTATCTGTGTTTTATTGACTATGCAAAGGCATTTGACTGTGTGAGTTACAACAAATTGAGGAGAATGTGAATCCCAGACATTTGATGTGCTTTTGCAAAACTTATACTTGTACCTGGCAGCAGTTCCCAGAACAAAGCAAGGAAACACTGCATGGCTCAAAATCATGAAAGGAGGGTGTCAGGGATATATTCTGTCTCCATACCTTTAATATGTATACAGAACAGATAAATCAGGAGGCTGGATTTTATGAGGTGGAATGTGGTATCAGGATTAGAGGAAGAATCATCAACAATTTTTGTAATGCAGATGACACAAACTTGCTTGCTGAAACAGGAGGATCTGAAGTGCTTGCTGCATGCAGGTCAAGGACTGTAGTCTTCAATAAATTGAAGCTCAACATAGGAAGACAAAGACTCTCACCACTGGGCAAATTGACACCACCATGATAAATGGAGAAGATTGAGGTTGTTAATATTTCAGCTTGGTCAGCCTCACAATCAATACTCCTGAAGTCAGGAAATCAAAAACCAAATTGCACTGGGGAAATGTGCTATCAGAGACCTTTCTAAAATGTTAAAGAGAAATGATGTTAATTTAGAGATATCACTGTGTGTGAACCAGGCCATGGTCTTCGCAATTATTCGCTATGCATCAGAGAGCTGGACAATGATTGAGGATGATAGAAGAATTGATGCCTTTGAGTTGTGGTGCTGAAGAAACTAATTGAACATACTATGGACTGCCAAAAGAACAAACATGTCTATTTTGGAGAGGTTGATACCAAGGCAAGGATTTTGAATCTCCATTTCCCATACTTTGGGCATGTGGCCAGAAGGGACTAGACCTTGGAGAAGAATATCATGCTTGGAAAGGTGAAGGAACAGCACAGGTGAGGATGAGAAAGATTGACCCAGTAACTGGAGTAAATGGGGGGTAGGTGTGTCAGTGAGACTCACTCAGGATAGGACAGAGTTCAGAGCTATTGTATATAGGGTCGCTGGCTATGAATCACAGGTGACTTGATGGCACATAACAACAACAAGACCAAGAAGCTGTTGTCCAAACAAAGCAAGGGAACACTATATGGTTTAAAATCAAGAAGGTTATGCATCAGGGTTGTATCCTTTCTCCATACATATTCGATCTGTATTCTGAGCAAATCGTTTTTTTGTTTTTTTTTCTCTATAATTATATTTTATTAATTTTCATAAACATTTACAGAGATTTTGGGCTTCCACTCATTCATTGTTGCACTGCAAATCGTTTTAAAATCTTGACTATATGAAGAAGAATGTGGGATCAGGATGGGAGGCAGACTCATTAATAACTTAAATTATGCAGATTACACAACCTTGTTTGCTGTAAGTAAAGAGGACTTGAAATGCTTGCTACAGAAGATCAAAGACTACAGCTTTCAATTTGGATTTAATCTCAACCTCAAGAACACAAAACTACACTAGGCCAATAAGCAACATCATGATAGATAGAAATGAGATTAAAATTGCCAATCATTTCATCTTACTTAGATCCACAATCAATACCTTTGGTACTAGCTGTCAAGAGATCAGGAGTTGCATTGCACTGGACAAGACTGCAGTCAGGGACCACTCTAAATTGCTGAGGAGCACTGACTGGTATCAGTCTGAAGACTAAGGTGCACCTGATTCAGAGAATGGTCTTTTTAGTCACATGTTATGCTACTGGGAGCTGGACAATGAATAGGGAAGACAGAAGAATTGATGCCTTTGAGCTGTGGTATTGGAGAAGAGTGCTGAAAATCTCATGGACTGCCAAGAGAACAGATAAGCCTTGGAGAAAGTGCAGCCAGAATGTATCCTGGAGGCAAGGGTGACAAAGCTTCATCTCATATACTTTCGGCATGTTGTTAGGAGAGGCTATTCCTTGGAGAGGAACACCATGTTTGGAAAAGTGGAGGATCAATGAAAGAAAGGGAGGCCTTCAATAGGATGAATTGACACAGTGACTGCTCCAATGGGCTCAAGTTTGTCAGAGATGGTGGGGATGGCACAGCTAAGTACAGGGTTAAGATCTGTTGTTTAAGGGGTTGCTATTAGTCATACTCTACTTGATGCACCTGTTGTGCTGTTATTGTTGTTGTGTACCATCGAGTCAGAATCAACCCACAACAGCAACAAAATAGTAAAGCATACTTAGGTAAAGTGATGCATATATCCTAACCATAACCACACACCTTGAAGGTGTTTGGGACTAGGGGCTCAGAATCATAGTTTTGGGTGAACGTGGATGGCTAGGGGCACAGCATAGTGCACAATGACAATATTCTACATCTTAATTGATTAGTAGCACCTGGCGTCTTAAAATCTGTAAATGGCTATCTAAGATGTAACTATTGCTCACCCCTCATTTGAAGCAAAGAAGAATGAAGAAAGCCCAAGGTGCACGGAAATAATTAGTTTAACTGACGAATGCTAATGGATCACTAATGCTAACGGACAAACTTCACCTTTTGAAACCCTGAGACAAAAAGAAATATTCTTTGGGCAGTTCATGGGATGTTCAGTGCTGTTCTCCAACACTACTAGCTCAAAGGCATCAATTCTTCCTTCTTCTGTCATCTTTAGTAATTGTCTAGTTCTCAGGTGCATAGCAAGTTGTGCCCAGCTACTACTGCTTACTTCTCTGAAAAGGACTACAACAGACGCTCCTGGAAAAAAATGCAATAAAAAGGCCAGGCTTACTAGTCAAATAGACACTGCTGACTCTTAGACTATGCCTCTTAGCCACCTTTCAATCCTGGAACAGATCTTGCCTTTTTTGCTCAATGGTCAGCAAAAATCTAGGATGGTTTATAAGGTGAACAGTAACACTAGAAATAGACAGTCTTTAGGACAGTCAATCAAGGACAACGTTCAGAAGACATGACGGGACAGGAGGGAGTTTTTGTTGTTCTGTACCATTTTGTTGGAGTTGACCCACAGCTGACCCTCCAGCAGATTTTCAGAGGCCATAAATCACAAGAGAGGAGAGGGCTCTCCCCTGTAGGGTGGAGCAGCTGCAGCCTTTGCATTGGTAGTACAATTCCCTACTGCTAAGCCACCAGAGCTCCCTATAGGAGAACTACAGAGGGGAGGTGGGGCAAGTGATGATTCACAGGGGCCTTGCAATCAAAGGCACAAAACAAAATACATATGATCTGTTGAATGGAAAACTGACTAGGTCTAGAAACTATCCCCCAAATTGTAATCTTTGAAAAATTAAAAAGACCTCATGATTAACCACAAATTGATGGGGGTGAGGGGGTAGAGAGAAGGTGTCAAGGAAATGGGAAAGATCTGGTGTGAAAAGCAATGTATTTGCAAGGAACAAACAGAAGTCACATAAAGAAAACAAAACCTAATGGTTTCCTGATTATCTTCCAGCCATTCTAAGGTGACTAGACAGCACTTTACATCCTAAATGGGAAGCCAAGCCAACAATCCTTACCTCAATACACGATTATTTCTTCCCCCAAATCCTTTGTCACTATTTCTCGTAAATAATAAAAATACACAATTAAAAAGAAAAGCAAATGTTAATAGTAGTTACATCCAGAGGGATCCTTATTTTGTCTACATTTTTTGCCTTTGAAAAAATTTTGTGTGTACATGCATATTCATATATCCGTGTGGTGGCCCTTAATTTGCACAGACTTACTGAGAGCCCATGCACAACTGCATATGCTGTGACCTTTGTACTGGCATCATGATAAATTGAAAACTAGACTGTTCTGAAATAGGATTACAATAGATGCTGTAGATCTGTAGATATTTCTTCAGATGCACCTTCAAGTGTACATTTCAATTAGCAGCCCAGTGCTAACTGTCCATTATGGCTCTCTATGATGGTGATGTTAGGCGCTATCAAGTAGGACTCATAGTGACCCTGTGAACAACAGCTCTGAACCCTATATTATATCGTGCTATCTTCTTCATCTCTGGCATACTTGAGCCCACTGGCATACTGCCTCAACCTATCTCACTGAGGGTCTTCCTCTCTGTCTCTGAACCTCCACCTTTCCAAGCATAATGTTCCTTTCTAAAGAAAAGCATCTTCTAGCAACTCAAAATATGTGAGATGAAGCTTTGTCATCTTTGCCTCCAAGAGGTAAGGAAGCCGGCTTCCTTTTAAAAATCTAAGCAGACTAGAATGAGGCTGTGGTTGTGCAACATTGTGAAATGTACCAAATGGCACTAAGTTATTAACTTTAAAATGGTTGATTTAATGTTATGCGAATTCCCCATTAATTTAGAAACATTTTTTAAAAGCCAATGAATCTTTAGTTACCATTGAATGTGGGGAGGTACTGGCTGGATTTCCCAATGACATAAACATTGGCAGGCTGACTTGATGGCACACAACAGCCTCTTGGAATCTGATTTTGGCTGTGTAAAATGGGGCTCTGTTCCAGCTTTGAGGTCAAATGACACAGTAACGCAGAGCTTAGTCTGCATGGTTCACAGCTCAGCGTGTCACGCAGGGGTTGTCGCTGCTGGCCAGCAGCTGCGACGCTAAGTCGCTGCAGCCAGGACGGGGC